TGTGTTAAACTCTCAATAACACAGCAAACACACAACAAAAATGACAGAGATGACAAAAGGGCAGTTAATCATCTGATTATATCCTTTATCAATTCTGCTTGAAGTATATTTATTCTTGATGAAAGTAGAATTAGCAAGCAATAAAAATGGACAAAAAGTTAGATAAAAAGAATGTTTAATCAACGAGTAATTGAAACAAATACAAAAATCAAGTAAAGGTAAAATGAAGAGGAGAAGTGGTTACCAGTTGCAAAACTACTGGATAGAAGCTACAACTTGCATCATGATAAATATATCATAAGTTGCAGAATAGCTAGATGTTCCAAATACAATGACAAACAAGTTAAAAATAGATATCAGATGTCTCTAAAATTGTCTTTGCTTCAGCTTCCTGAACTACATATGAGAGCACAAGAACATTATGCAAACAACTAGTTTCATAAAGTAATAAATTAACTAAGAGTAATACATATGCATAAGAAAATTATGTGAAACTTGAGAATAAAACTTCTTTTGGGAGGAACTCCGTCTCTGTGGGTAAGTGAAGCTCACAATTGAAACTGATGGTAATGAAGATGAACTTTGTTCACTGCTGCAACAACTTTGAATTATATTGATTCTCATCCTCACACTCAATGTGGCTGGTTAGGGCAGATTTATACAGAAGAGAGCTTACGGCGATTTCATACATTTGTGTTTTGTATGACTGCGTAGAGAAGCTAATTTACTCAAACTCTTCTCACTTGGAGGGCAGCGTTTGCAGCTTCTCTCTAGTATGGATCCTCTCATGTTTTTTCATGTTTCCAAACAAAGAGAATCCCTTGTCAGTGTGAACACTTGTAAGGTTTCTCTCCAGTGTGACTTGTCTGGTGCTGTTTCGGTGGCTCTTCAGGGCTAATTCCAGATTAAAACCTTTGCCGCATTGATCACAGTAAAACGGTTTATGTTCAGAACGGGTATGTAGATGTTTTTTGAGAGTGGAATTATGTGTGAAACTCCTACCACATTCATCACACGTGTGTAGCTTTTCTCCAGTGTGGATTTTCTTGTGTAACATAAGGTTTGATCTTTGTGTGAATTTCATCCCGCATTGCTCACGTGTGCGGCTTCTCTCCGGTGTGAATTTTCATGTGTTCATTTAGGCTTTTTTTGAGTGCAAAACTCTTCCCGCACTAATCACATGTGTGCGGCTTTTCTCCAGTGTGAACCAACATGTGGCTCTTAAGGGATTGCTTTAGAGAGAAACTCTGCGCACTGATCACACGAGTACTCCTTCTCTCCAGTGTGGATAAGCATGTGTCTTTGAAGGTGTTCTCTTCGTGTGAAACCCTTCCCGCATTGATCACATGTGTGTGGCCTGTATTCAGTGTGGATTGTCATGTGTTGCCTAAGATCTGTTTTGCATCTGAAACTCTCCCCACACTGATCACAAACATGCGACTTCTTTCCATTGTGGATTTTCATGTGTGATAACAGGCTTCTTTTGACGTCAAAACTCTTCCCACGTTGATCACATGTGAACGACGTCTCTCCAGTGTGGATTGTCATGTGTCTCTGAGCGTTGTCTTTTCGAAGGAAACTCTTCCCACAGTGATCACATGAGTACGGTCGGCCTTTCTCCGGTGTGGATTTTCATGTGCTCCTTAAGGTGTGCTTTTTGTGAGAAACTCTTCCAGCACTGATCACATGTGAACGGTTTCTCTTCAGTGTGGATTCTCAGGTGTATCCCAAGTTGTCCCTTGAGTTTGAAACCCTTGCCGCACTGATCACACGTGTGCAGCTTCTCTCCAATATGGATTTTCATGTGTTTCTTCAGGTCTCGTTGTGGATTATCATGTGTTCCTTAAAGTGTCTTTTGTGTGCGAAACTCTTGCCACATTGATCACATGTGTACAGTTTATCTTCAGCGTGGATCCTCACCTGCTGCCTAATGGCTTTTTTGTGTTTCTGCTTCTCTCTAGTACGAATTCTCGTGTGAAGAAAGCCGTTGACAGATTTTTTGGTTTCTTTTTTTCCTTTCTTGCTCACTTCCATCAGTTCTAAAATAAACATATTATTCCATTACAAATCAAAAGAGATTCAAATTAAAATTGAGCACCACAGTTAATGAACTTACAACACAAACATCTTATCACGTTATCATGTTTGATGTGCAATAACTGCACAAATATGTGCATTTTTATGAGCATGATTTGTAATGCTAAATGATAAAACAATAATTCTGGGACATATTACAGCTGCCTTGTAACGTCTCTAATTCCTTTTTACATTACTTTTAGCATAAGAATGAGGAAATGTTAAACTGAGCGATCTTTTGAAGGCCCTTTTAACTCAGAAATATGGCAATATCTCCACATTCTCTACTTAATTACAGTAAAAAAAAAAAAAAGTTAAAAAAAATATGTCAGTCATCGTGATATTTAGTTGTTTTAGCTTATTTTAAAGCATTTTACATCTTGAGGCCCCCTGGAAGTTTGGTGAGGCCCCCTAGTGACACCCGGGCATCTGGTTGAGAGCAACTACACCCACCACACCCACCCACACACACACACACACACACACACACACACACAGTAACATGAGTAACATGGTGGTTCACTGGCAGGGAGACAAGGACATTTTTATGGATTTTAATGTAAGAGAGGCTTCAGGATACTGAATACCTTGCTTTTATGAGAAAACCTCTTTTTGCTTGATGAGTTGACATCCTGTTCTCTAATCTTCATTGTCTTTATTATCAAATAATTATTTTGCAGTGAGCTACAGTTTGTCTACAACAAAAAATGCTGTTGTATTAGCAAAGTTTTTGCGACAGCTAGTATCAAAAACTGCATACACCAAGATGTTTCACTAGTATAACTATAATCTCTGCATTCTATATAAAAGAGCTGATCACTAGTTGGTAATGCATCTCTGCAACTTCCGTTAGAAGCTCTTGTTCTCATAAAAACAGTTAGCGACCTAAAATTCATGCATACACATTGGCAGAGCCATCCTAAATCTTTTTATTTAACACGATTTGACCATAAGAAATACCATATGAGACAGTTCATGGCTTATGTTATTGCTGATTTGAATTATGTTATTGAAATAGGAGTTTGGCAAACAGTTCTTTTAAAATTGTTATTTACCCATCATCACATATGACTCTGACCGTGCAAACCAGTTTGAGACAAGACATTTTTTCATCTACACTTTTAATCAGCATGTTAAGAGCATTTTAAAATAAACATAATTGCTAAAAATGGGAAAATAATTTTTAGATAGCATGGAAAGACAGCATAAACTTTCAAATGACTAATTAACTTTGTTTTCTGCACATGATGAGCATTTTGATTATGTACATTATTTGTTTGTTTTTAGTAGATACTCATTTTAAGCAAATTATAAAAATGGTCCAGACTTCAAGAGGAAAACTCTGAACCGCTAATTTCTGTGCCTTCTGCCTTACGCATGTATCTAAATGTAAAGAAAAAAATAGTCTATTTTTTTTTTTTAATTCTCAGACGCCACTGCCCTTTTGCTCTGAGGACCCAATATCCTAATTTGTAATGACTATCCATTTTATATAGATACTGGGTCTCTTGGAACTGAATACCCCTGGTGTAAAGGGTGGGAAATGGAGAGACAACAACCAATAAAACAGACATCTGCACACCTACAACACACTCGTTATGCAGAAAATGCATTTTTAAGTATTTGCACATTTGTGGTATCTTTTGCAGGAAGACATTTGGAGCGGCATTTTTCCAAGTTTCAGAATTTGACATTCAGAAGTAATAAAAATACAAGGATTTTTGCCAGGAACCTCAGGATTTGAGGACTAGAGAAAGCTATTTTACATGCACCACATGTAAAATCATTATTTTTTATTTTAAAATAATTCCAGTTTCATGGTGTTAAAAGGTGTTTTTATTTAATTTGTTAAAAAACCTTTTACATCCTACAAAAACAATTTTTTTTACTCCACATATACATGTGGATGGCCGGTCATTCAGACAGCAATCAGCCTCCAAAAACAATCTTTTGTTTCTGCACATTCCTTTGATGGCCAGCCATACAGAGAAAAGAAGCGATTTAAAGGGGTCATATGATGCTTTTTTAAAGATCATTATTTTGTGTATTTGGTGTATCAGAATATGTTGACATGCTGCAAACATTTTTCATTACAAATAAGCTGATTATATATTTTGTAGAGATATATTTAAAACATTGTATAATAGTATTCAGTATAGTATTACAACAAATTAGAATATCTATTTGAATATTTAGGCCAGTTTTAGAAATTGTATGCCTTTTATGGTTTAGATCACTATTATCTTACAGTATATGCATGACACCATATGAAGGAGCAAAATAAATCAGTAAAAGTTTTTACAAAGCCAGTTTTATCTGTTTTCCCACCATATGAGGCCTTTAAATCTTATTTTTTCTAGAAAGCTGTTAATTTAAGGACTCAATGACAGGTTAACAGACAAAAATTTTACTGTGAAATTTCACAAATCTGAACAGTCCATTTAAGCATAGTATGACCCGTCAATGTTTAATTATCCAATGAAATAAACCAAGTGAACCAACTACAGTACAGTAAGAAATTATATATATTATATATAACGTGATAAGATTGTGCAGTTATGCCATACATCTTCAAAACAATCAAACATACGATGGTTGGCAGCGTTCAAAGGATAAAATGTAACAAAATTAAACAAAAGAAAAAAGGGCAGGCTCTTTAGGCACATGTAGTCACAAATATTGTGGAATCTAGTCTAGATTCCTTGACTTTATGCAGCCCACTCACTGGTTTCCACGCAATCTGAGACAAATAACATTTGACGTGATATTATCTCCTGCATCACTGAATCTAATATGGCCTTGTGAACTGATGTAATAAACTCGCCGGGCTTGTATAAAGCCCACTTATATAAGAATGGTGCATAATTGCAGCCACACACCCTATCAAAGTCCCCTGCTGTCTGCATCCGGTGTAACATCTGTGTGACTCCGATCTATCTCACGCGTTCTTCTCGTTCGTTGGTTCCGCGCTTCATTTTGTTTTTCCGGGTGCGCTCCATCTTCCAGCGCCGACCAAAAGCAGAGGCAGCAACCGCATCTACCATCTCGCCGGGAAGTGCTCCAGTAACCGAAGATTTTCGTATACTGCGTCGATTCTTACATCCCTTGTGCGTATCTGATTTTTTGTGTTTTCATCACTTGTTTGCATTATAATTTAGATAGGACAGATGTCTGTATTTCAGTCGATAAAGGTCCTGCTTCCAAGGCTTTCACTAGCCTAGCATAGCTGGATAATTTTTGGGTCAAGCCCAATTAATAAACGTAACAGTCATAACATTTGTGAAGTACAGCTGCAAATATTAAGTATGACATATATTTTTAGTTTATGTAATCTTTTGTAATGCAAGGCTGTGTTACTGCGTTGCTGTATGTTCATGTAGCAAATGGTCTACATAACTCCCTGATGATTTCCTGTGTAAATTGGGAATTACAGGCATGTTTAAAATTTGTATCTGTATTCTAATTTCATGAAAATTGCCAGCCGTCAATAAAGGATATTTTGAGATTATACTGTTGCTTTTATGCGTTCTTAAAATGTTGATATGTAAATGTGCTTTATTTCCTCCTCTTCAGATCTGAGAAGCTGTCAGAATGACTGACTCCAAGTATTTTACCACCAACAAAAAAGGCAAGTGAAGAGCTTAAATTTGTTCATGTAGGCTATGGGATGGTAATAGGATTTAAAAAGAACTGATCTAAAACCCCTGAACAATTTACTCGCAGTTTGATACGATATTTTCTGGATGTTGTTTTAGACCATGTATGTTCAGTTCTGGTGTTTCGTTCTTTATTATGAGTCATGATAGTTTAGTGATATAAATTTGGGTTGGACTCGGACTGAAATCCTGAGATTTTGAAAATATTTTAAACCAAGATAAAACCAAGAAAAATTACAACTGAACTCAAAACCCAACTCCATATAAAAATAATTATCTAATAAAAATGTACTTGAAGTTTCACTGTAATAATACTACAATGTCTTCAGATCCCATTACATACTTTTAAATTATGAACTGGAACAGGAACATGCATTATTAATAAGATATTATCATTGATTCAGTATTCCAGATCCCCCCAACCACCCACGCGTAAAAACCCATTGGATATGCACAAATCATAGAGGCTACAATACACATTTTGACTTCAAAATGTGAATTTCACCAAAAGCCACTGATTTTGAGGCATTATCAGTTTTGTTCCTGCAATAATTGTGGAACAGAATTATAAAATGTAAAAATCTTTCATTTTTGTCTTGAAATTTGCATTCAAATATGTTTGGCCCAAAAATCTGAAAGGCACGTGCCCCTTGCTTTGAATGGTCATGATGCCTCTGCATTTGCACGCTCATTTCTGTGAATGACCTAAGTAGAAGACACACACACACACAGTTCCTCGATCTTTTCAGTTTGCATACAGGCACTCTAACACACCACCAATCTATATTAAGTGTTGATTTTCCAGGTAATTTTAGGGGTACATTTGTATCAAGAACACTCTAGTGATAATTTCTGATTAATTTAAAAGTGCAAATATGACAAGTAAATATTTCAAGAATTAGTGGAATAGTAGTAAAATAGTAAACAACGTTTATTTTGACTAAATATAGTGTACTTGTGTGTAGAATAATTGTGAATTTAATGCTACTCTTCTGCTCCATAGAACTTGTATAAGCATTAGCCTCTGAAAACTTCAGATCAGATGAGCACTAATCATGTTACTCTCTGTTACAGGTGAAATCTTTGAGCTGAAGGCCGAGCTGAACAATGAGAAGAAGGAGAAGAGGAAAGAGGCAGTGAAGAAAGTCATTGCAGCCATGACAGTGGGCAAGGATGTCAGGTGCTTTGACTGACTCGTTTATCACCATTACTGAATCAGATATGCACTCTTACCTCCCACATTTCTTAAAAGATGATTATTTTGACCCTAATAGTTATGCTAATACCTTTTTACCTGTTTCTTTAGTTCCTTGTTTCCAGATGTGGTAAACTGCATGCAGACCGATAACCTGGAGCTGAAGAAACTGGTTTACCTGTACCTTATGAACTATGCCAAGAGTCAACCTGACATGGCCATCATGGCCGTTAACAGCTTTGTCAAGGTGAGAATTGCTGTTAAAGTTTGGATCAAATTTGGACATCAGGATAACCTGGAGCTGAAGAAACTGGTTTACCTGTACCTTATGAACTATGCCAAGAGTCAACCTGACATGGCCATCATGGCCGTTAACAGCTTTGTCAAGGTGAGAATTGCTGTTAAAGTTTGGATCAAATTTGGACATCAGTGTACTATGATTTTGTAAAATTCCACCAAGAGGTCTGAAGTTATTCTTTCTTTTTTTTTAGGATTGTGAGGATCCAAACCCTCTGATCCGAGCTCTGGCTGTGCGTACAATGGGCTGTATTCGTGTGGACAAGATCACTGAGTACTTGTGCGAGCCTCTGCGAAAGTGTCTGAAGGATGAAGACCCCTATGTGCGGAAGACCGCTGCAGTGTGCGTGGCCAAACTGCATGACATCAATGCCCAGATGGTGGAGGACCAGGGCTTCCTGGATTCTCTCAGGGACCTGATCGCTGATTCCAACCCCATGGTTAGATACTTTGGATCTAATTGTCCTAAATGCATACTTCCCCATTCACAATTCTTTACTGATATCTGATTTTCACATAGGTTGTGGCTAATGCAGTTGCTGCCCTGTCTGAGATCAGCGAGTCTCACCCCAACAGCAACCTTCTGGACCTGAATCCTCAGAACATCAATAAGCTCCTGACGGCCCTCAATGAATGCACTGAGTGGGGTCAGATCTTCATCCTGGACTGTCTATCCAACTACAACCCCAAAGACGAGCGTGAGGCCCAGAGGTGAGGGGATAATAATCCTCATAGTCACTGGTTTCTTTATCTCTACAGGTGTATGGAGATTATGGAGAGCGAATGATTTTATTTACATTTACATTTACATATTTTTTTGTATCTTATGTGTATCAGCAAGATTAGAATTTTTCCACAGGTTTTGTACCCTTTAGCCAAGGCTATTTTATTTATATAGCACATTTTTCATACCTAGTTAAATTTTAAAGGAGACATATTATGCCCCTTTTTACAATATGTAATATAAGTCTCTGGTGTCCCCAGAATGTGTCTGTGAAGTTTCAGCTCAAAATACTCCACAGATCATTTATCGTTTGCGAAAACACAATAACGGTCGCCGTGGGTGGAAACTTACAGATTAAAGGGCAGTAATATTATAATGAGATCCCTTTGCCATGTCACCAAGGGAGCGAAATCAGACGCGCTTGTTTTCTCAGACTCTTGCAGAAAAATGCTTACCAAAACAAAGTTACTGGGTTAATCTTTTTCACGTTTCCTTGGTTGGTACACCGTTGTCGTTTGCGAAAACACAATAACGGTCGCCGTGGGTGGAAACTTACAGATTAAAGGGCAGTAATATTATAATGAGATCCCTTTGCCATGTCACCAAGGGAGCGAAATCAGACGCGCTTGTTTTCTCAGACTCTTGCAGAAAAATGCTTACCAAAACAAAGTTACTGGGTTAATCTTTTTCATGTTTCCTTGGTTGGTAGATGATTATAGCACTTAAAACCTGGAAAAGTCAGATTTTCATGAAATGTCACCTTTAAAATGGGCCCAATTTGGAGAAAAAATATCAATGCTTTGCTTGTTTGTAGAGCTTCACAATTTGGCCAAAACTGTGATTATAGCTAATCAGTATGACTATAAATAATGATTATTATTATTGTTATTATTTATTATTATTATTAAATAAAATATAAAACTTACTAAATAAAAACAAAAATTATAAATGACTCTTGTGAAAGTTTAATGTAAAATGGTAAAATATTATAATAATAATAATTTTATTTTACAGCCCAAGTGTATACTTACAACAATACTAATATTTATAGCGGTCTTAATTTTCCAATTCAAATCATTTTCAAACATTAAACCACTGAAGATTTATTTTTATGGAAGACTTAATTAAAACTACATTTAAGAAAATGCAATGTACATTGCTTAGTTAGAGACTGCACAGGCAAACAAATATCTTTAGACCTTTTTTAGTTTAGACGTATATGTGGCAACCAGTCTCTATAATCTTATGAAAACTGGTCTCTTTAATGGTCTGGAGCAGTTATGTAGTTTACAGGTTTTCTTTCTGTCCTGTTACTATGAATTTACATTACAAAAAACCTGAAGTGGATTAGAGACAGTAAAAAGCCTGTTGTCTGCTTTGACAGGTTAAACTCGGACATGTCAGAGCAATTTTCTAGCCGGTAAATGTCAACAAGCTGATTCTTGTACTTGTGATTGTCAAAGAAGATTAATTACATATACCAGGCATATGATAATATTGCTGTTTATTTTTAGACTGCAAATAGAACAGCAATAAAAATGATTAGTGCTACCTTAGAGTGAGCTTTTACCATTAATTTAGTTTCCTCAAAGGCTTATTTTAAGATGAAATTTCATTAGAGCTGAGAATTTGTTTACATGATAGTCATTTTCCTTTTCAGACTGAGATAAACTAAGAGATAAACAGATTTGTTGGGGGATAAGCCTCTTGAGAGGAAATAGAGACTTGCCTTTAATTTTTAGGTGTAGCGCTTCTTTGATTCTATTCATAGAATTCATATGTAATTTTTAGAGAAGCATAAAGAATAGTTCAATACAGGTCACATTAAGTGCTTATGAATTGCATAGATTATAACAGGAAATTCAAGGGAAGATCAAAGGGAAGAAATTCAAATCAAGGATTTGGTTTTTAATGCAGGGATTGATTTATTCAGTCCAAGGCATTTCAACAAATCACACTCTTTCTCTGTCTGAATGTTATTTATTAATATTAAAGGGTTAGTTCACCCAAAAATGAAAATTAGCCCATAAATTACTCACCCTCAAGGCATCCAGGTGTATATGACTTTCTTCTTTCAGACGAATCCAGTCAGAGTTATATAACAAAATAGTCTTTGATCTTTCTAGCTGTTTAATGCCACTCAGCGGGTGTTGCATGCATCAGTCCAAAAGAAGTTAAATAAAATGTGCCCATCCATAAAAAAATAAGTGTCTCACACGGCTCCGGGGGGTGAACAAATATGAACGTTTTGAATATGGATATTTTTCTTACAAAAATGCATCGATTCGCT